ACAGACCATAAAGCAGGGGATGCTTTAGGGCGGGACTACACGGTGATTGACAGGTCTCTACCGCGGCGTTGTCCGTGTTTTTGTCTCACAACTTTAACTCTTTCACAGTGTTTTCACCTCATGAAAGTTAATTGTAACATTTTGGACGCCTACGGTTGCTCCTTCCTCTCGTGTCACTTCTGGTTGAAAACAAACAAGATGGCGACGGCCAAAAACCAAGCTGATGACAGCGTTTATTGTGAAAAAGAGGTTTTCAACAAACATTTTGAATGCTAGTTTTTATCCCTTTCTTACCTCTACAGGTGTGGTGTTCTGTGAGAACTCGTCGGGGAGGGGCAGGACCTTCATACTGGCTCTCTGGATCAGATCAAAACCGCTTCCCACCACCATGATCCTGCGACCACCGCTACACACACACACAGATGAGGGAATTAATTACAGTACATTTACATTCAAACGCAGTTTTTCTGCACATTTATTTACATTTTAAGATATTTTTTCTCCCGTACCTATCTAACGGTCTGAGCTTTTATAAGATTTAATGAATATGCAAAAAGATGAATTAGCATCTGTGTATTTTGACTTCTCTAATCACTTCTATGAAGCCACACTCACCATAAGAAGCTGCCCTTTGGGTTGTAATCCGTGATCTTGGGGTTTTCAGAGTACTGGTACGCAGCCAAGACGTCCTTGGTGGTGTTTTTACCGTACTTCACCGTCACCGCTAACTGGTCGGAGGGCACCTTCTGCCCGCGGTACTTGCCGGTCTTGCAGGTGATATTCAAGCCGAACGTCACGCTGAAGAAGGACGGAGGAAGACTTTTAGTGTCGCAACCGCCTCTTCAGGAAACACACGAGTGGACGATACGATACAGTTTTCTTACACTTCACAGGGAACCCCCCCCACACTGACGGACACGTCGTCTTTGGTTGCGGTGTCCAGGTGTTCTCCAGCGATGGTGATCACGGTTCCTCCGGCGGCCGGACCCTTCGCTGGGTCGACGGACTGTGGTTTGGGGTCCTGGACGGAGAGGAGGACAAAAGAATGAGTCGTTTGTACTTAAAGATAAACTTAAAGTAAAGATACGCTAAAAAAGCGTGCGATAAAAAAAATGAAATGTTATTTTACAAAATACATTTGACAAAATACAAAATCTAAATATATAATATTGTAGATTACCCAGCACAGTGTATAAAGTAATTAAAATGAGCTCCATAATTCCAATAATATAATTTGCATAACGAGTACTTTTACTTCTGGTACGTATACTTTGATGCGAATACTTTTGTACTTAGCCTGTAAGATATGAACACTGAATATATTAACTAACTTACTAACTTATCTTTTACATGTTTTTTGTTATTTGGATTCCTGCCTCATTCTTTTGTTGTTAATTTGATTGCTTGGTTTTATTGCACAGTATTCGCTTTCTATTTATTCTCTGGTTTCTCTTGTTTACTTGATTGTGAAGCACTTTGAACTACGGAGCCCGTATGAAAGGTGATACATCAAAACAGCTTTATGTGGTATTACTACTTTTACAAGAGTTTAATATCTACATGTTGAGCACATTGTTTGTCGTTTTCTTAATGCCAGCACCTGAAGGCACCATCCCGCTGATTTATTGCTGCAGGTCCACCTCGTTCTGTAACGTACACACACTCGCTGCTCTGTTATTTCATCTTTTAATATGAGAGGTGTTCAGTTTAAACCTGAAGAGACTTAATTATGACTTCTAATTAGTTTCATACCATCTATTACAGTCTGTGTTGTTGCTCCACAGGCTCGTTCTTCCACCTGATTTAAAGCAGGAAACGCTTTGCGAGGACTTCGTCATTGTTTTTGTTCTATGAAATTAAATGATTTCAAATCCGTCAAACGAGACACAAGAACACAAACGGAGAGAATCAATAAAAGGAGAAGTGAACATTAAACTCTAACAGAGCAGAGTTGATGGTGTTCCTTCTAAAGACTCCCCGTGGTGTTTATCTTTAGGGAGCGAGATGAAACTGAAGACAAACTGTAGAACTTTTAGTAACTTGTGTGCTTAAAGAATGTTGTTGAAAGGCGTCTGCGGCTGCTGAAGTTCACCAGCTGATTGGTTTCCTGCTTGTTTTTGAGCGGCAACACAAACAAAACAGCGGATATTAATTCTCGTCTGGAGAATTAAGACACAGCAGTCGAGCGCAGCGTGTGGAAGAAGTCATTTGTGCTTGTTTGGAAGTGAGATGAAAATAAATAAATAAGTGAAGAAGTTTTCCAAATCAGTCGTGCAGCTGCTGAGACGTACTACTATTTGTTTCTGGCAGATAAAGACGCAAACACAAGAATAAATATCCCCCGAAGACACACACACACACTCAGCTCTCTGCTGAACAAAATGGCAGCACAGTTACTGAAAGCTCTCCGTTCATCAGCCGCAGTAATCAATATTTCTACAGTTTAAAACCAATAAAACGTAGAAAGTGAAACAGTTCTTTTATTGTTTTCTGCTATTTTCTTGATTTTATGAATGAAACTTTGTTCTTTTTCTTTATAATCTCATTAAAACTTAGATTCGTACCATTAGGAGCAGATTAAATTGATTTGTTATCAGCGCATCTCTACGAAGCATTTTAGCTTCTTTCAGCTCATTGTTTTGGTTGTTCAAAGTGCTTATTAAGCGTATGAATCCTTGAGTTGTGGTCTGATCACTTTATTCTTGAGTCCAGGTGGAGGTTGAGATATCAGATTCACAAGAATTCCCCAGACGGACGGACGCTAAACGTTTTGTCCTTTAGACTCTTTTAAATACGTTATTTCATTCTGGTGTAATATTTCCGTTTTGACTGTAATCTCAGAGGGAAGTTCAGAGTTGGAGAGTTTACCGCCAGAAACAAACTGCTGCCGAAAGCAAAATGACTCGTTTTTGTTCTGGGCAGTTTGCTTTAATTGGCTTTTTGTCGGCTCAAACAAAACAAAGAAATATGAAAGGGAACAACATGTGAATGAAACGACTGAGGCTGGTTAGAGAACCACAACAGAGCAGCAGGTGATGTTTTATTTTGCTTCTGCTGGACGTTAAACACAGATATTTTTAACGCACTGCTGCTTCTTTAGGGAGTACGATCTCCAGAGGAAGGCCGCGTGTTTGTACTTTGTTATAAACCTCTGAATGTTCCTGGGGGGTGATCTCCGGGGGGGTTTGAGGTAGCTGTTGTCACGTATGTTCTGTGTTGCCTCAGAAACTTTTGACGAGGTTTCAGGATTTAAAAAACAGCTTCCTGCAGTTTATTCAAGCTGCCGATGGAACGATGTCAAACTGCTGAATGTTACACGCTCTGTGTTCAGTGAACGTGTGCAAGATAAAATCTGAATGTGTTTAGCGATCGTAAACAACATTGCTCCATCAGGCTGCTGGATAACAGTCGTCATTCACACATGATTTGCACCAATCAAGGCTGTATTTTGTGAAGAGCTGCAACAAATGATTATTTTAATTATTTTCTCTGTTAATTGATTCCTCGATTCACGTGAAGAATGTTGATCAGTGTTTCCTAAAGCACAAGATGACGTCCTCGCATGTCCTGAGTGCAGCGCTTGGGTTCAGACCTACCCGGTAGGTGAAGACCACCTGAGACTTCCCTCTTCTTCCTCCCTCTACTTCTATCTCCACGGCTCCACTGCTGGAGGGCTCTAATGGGACGTCCACCGGAGGAATCCGCCTCGCCGGTCCGATCTCACACACCACACTGTGGACAGAAAGACACGGAGACAAGTACATTTACTCAACGCTGCTCTGAAGTACACATTTGAGGTACTTGTACTAGAGTATTTCCATGTTCTGCTACTTTCTATTTCTCCACTACCTCTCAGAGGTACATACTGTACTACCTCTCAGAGGTACATACTGTACTACCTCTCAGAGGTACATACTGTACTACCTCTCAGAGGTACATACTGTACTTTTTACTCTACTACCTCTCAGACGTACATATTATTCCACTCAAATAGCTCTCTGAGTAAATCAATGAGAGAGCTGATGCTCAGTTATCTGACCTCATTAATTACTGACAGCAGGCGGTCAGAGGTCGGTGTACAGAGCTTCACCTCCTCGTGGACAGACAACAGAAGAGGCTCCTGTCTGCATGCTGATGTCTGTTTGAGTACCTGGTGGAGACGGAGTACCGGTCCTCCTGGTGGACGCAGTCCACGCCGGCCACCGTGATCTTCTTGATGTCTTCCCTCTTTATTCCCATGTTGGAGCCTTTGATGGTGACCGAGATCCGACCGTTCAGAGGGCCGAAGCGAGGGATGATCTGGAAACACGACCACACACACAGATCGTTTCATAACGTAAATATCCATATTATTATGGGATACAGTCTTCATGTGTATTCTCTATTTAAAGAGCAACATAACCGCTGTGAAAACCTGGTACAGGTGTTACAGTCGCAGATGCTAAAAGCATCAAAGCATCTGTAACAGCTAACATGCATGTAACGAAAATCACATCATGGCTACATTTATTGTATTTAAGAAATCGTATCCTTCTGCATCCTCAGATATGTAAATAAATACATTAATATACTGTACCATCTGAAAGCTGCATGTTTCTAGAAGGCTGCACTTGTTAACAACCGTCAGCTGTTTCATTCATCGGCAGCTTCTCGTCTTCTCACCAGTTAAAAGCTCTCCACCAAGAGCTCAACATGCTGAAACAATAACACCTCTTGACCTAATCAGCTGCCGCGCCACGAGGAAATCGAGACGAAACAAACGACTGGCGTTCCAGAGGAAACGGCAAACAAATTGAAAAAGGAGACGAACTGTGAATACGACACGAGGCAGGAAAATGAAATGTCACGCTGAAGAGAAGAGGCGACTGATTGAGGATTTGTCTGTTTGTGAAAAAAAAAGCCGTATGGATTGTGAATAATGTGGAATCAGAAGAAGACGAATCGTTAGAATGAATGTGGAGAGACAGAAATGAGAGAATTAATGGAGACGATTATCCCAACAGATGGAGGGATTGTGTTCGTCTCTGGAGTAAGATGACGCCTCTTCTTCTTCACACAAAAGTCTGTTTCATAAAGCAGCCAAAGGTAAGAATACGATGCGTGATTGTGTCAGTCGGTAGATGTGTGCATAATCATTTTATAGACACATTTCTCAGGAGTTTAAATATGTTTTAGAAGGAGACTTCCCAAGAGGTAGGCAAGTAAAAGGAGATCGATCAAGAATATCTAAAGCTAATTCTATGGAAACGTGACCCGCACCTCCCGATACGTCTTCATGGACCAACATGTTGCTCGATGGAGGAACTACAGAGGAAAAACATTGGGATTCATCCTCTGGGGAGCAGGACAACCAATCAACAGCTGAGAAAATATCTGTCCGTCTGTGAACCGAAGTGTCGGGAGCACAAAAACCCAACCGCCCGCAGTACGTTATTGTTCTGTTTCCTTGATTCTTGTCATCTGACACAATCTGATTCACTCACGCAGACACATTTAAAACCCTCCTCGTCCTCAGTCGTCCATGCGATTGCTTCCTCGTGTCTTTCTTCTGTGACTGCAGCACATTTCAGTCTGTTCCTCTTCACTTATTCCTTTCAAATCACCACATGCAGTTTGTTGCTGCTCTGTCTTTTTTGGGTTGTCTTTCTTTACGACAGAGGATACGTTTGAGATGTGATTCATGTCAGAAGGTTCTCTGGTGTTCTAACAACGATGGAGGGAAAATGCAACATGGTGGGTTTGTTAAAAAGGTGCCGCTCACAGAGCTCATCACAGAGACTCTGAGACTTTGTGAGGACACTTCCTGCTACAAGGCAGACATCTCAGCTGTGAAACCTCTTATATGATGCGACTATTTTCTGCTTTACCTGTTTGTTGCCGAGTATTGTTTCGTCTTAATTGCATCTAGTGTAGAGACTTTATTTGTGTGCACAAGTTTAGATACTCGACAACTCTTTATACTATTCCTCATCATTATTCATTTGTTTGACTACATCTTGTTTTATTCTGGCTCTGGCTGGTGCTGCAGGATCCTCATTTGTTTTACGAGCCACGTTTCCACTCTTTCTTGTTATTTTCGTAGATTAATACGGCCTTTCCTTCACAGAATATTCGTCTGGTGTCACGTTACCGTCACAGCCGAGGAGCTGGGATGTGACAATCTGAATTAAATGAATGTAGTGGAGGAGAAGTATAAAGTAGTCATGGGTGCAACATATCCAACAGGCTCTCAGACACATCGAGCACCTCTAAGTAAAGAATCTGAAGTGTTTGATATGTGAGAGTTTGTTTGGTGGTGTTTTCCGTGACTCACGTCTGTGATCTCCGGGTGGGGGCACTGAGCCGGCTGTGGTGACGGGCAGAGCTGCCGGTAAACGCAGCTGCGTGAGGCGGAGCACCAAACGCACCGGTACTGAGCTTCAGCGTGTTTACACAGACTGCAGTCCTCTCTTCCCACCGAGCAGTTATACAGCACGACTGTGGGAGGAGGAGGAGGAGGAGGAGGAGGAGAAGAAGAAGACGTAGACGTAGACATAGAAGAAGAAGGAGAAGGAGAAGGAGAAGAAGAAGGAGACGTAGACGTAGACATAGAAGAAGGAGAAGGAGAAGAAGAAGGAGACGTAGACATAGAAGGAGAAGGAGAAGGAGAAGAAGTCGATGTTGTAGAAGAAGTAGAAGGAGAAAGAAAATAAGTAAAAGGTAGTAGCAGAATAAGAAATATAAGTAGTAGAAGAAGAAGTAATAGAAGTAGAGGAAGAAGAAGAAGTAGAAGCAAGAGGATGATAAGGAGAAGTAGAAGCAAGAGGAGGATAAGGAGAAGAAGTGTAGTAGCGGAAGAAGAAATAGAAGTAGTAGAATAAGAAGAAATAGGAAATGAAGTAGAAGTAAAAGAGGAAGTAGAAGAAGAAGAAGAATGTATTGAAGTAGAATGATCAGGAGAGGAAGAAGATGAAGAAGATGAAGAAGTAAAAGAAAAAGGAATAGAAGACGACGTTGGGAGAAGTAGAAGAAGAATTGGAGGAGGTTATAGCTAATTAGCATATTTTAGATGGAATTGAAAATAAGAGTCAAACAGCGTAATAACTGTGCTTTCACACACTTGAGTTATGAGCGTGTGTGTTTAAGTGTGTGTGTGTGCATAAGTGTATGTATGTGTGTATAAGTGACACACCAACCTGTCAGGGTGCTGTCAATCTTCCTCAAAGTGTCTCTGTCCTTGATATGGAAAGATACGTTCACCTCCTGCTGCTTGTCATAGGAAAACTGC